AAGGAGCATTTGTATAAAGAACTGCAGAGTACTACAGACTTTAGTCAGGGTTAAATTTAAGATAATTTAAAGCAAATAATCAACCCCATCATAGGGCCACTAAAACAAAGAAAATGTATTTCTAGAGTGCAAACAAAGTTTACCCGCAGAAAAGCTTGGAAACAAAAATATTCAAGACTAGTAATAAAACTTGGAACAAAAAACATAAGAAAAGAGGAAAGAATAAATGATTTAAAAAATGTATTACTAACAGTTTCAGATAGACTGGTGGAACTTTAACATGTTTGCGATTTTTTAAAGAGTTCAAATTAATTAAATACGTGATCAAAGCTGCTGGGCAGCATCACACATTCTAAAAAATAACAACTGCTGTCTGTGAAAATTTGTAGAAATTTTTAACCGCTTAATAAAAGTCACACAAAGGTGACTTGAAGCATGAGCTAACCATCTCACGTGTGATTGTCAGTGAAAGGCAACACTACCTGCAGATGAGGATGTGCATCTTGTCAGCTTTCCTTAGTGAGGAGGAGTTTTAGGGGGAAGAAAATAAAGAGCGTACCTGACTCCAGATCATCTGTGTGGAGGAGAAGACAGACATCAGTTGGTAAGAACAGAAACTTGTTACTGTTGAGTAATTCCACTCGATTTATACTGTTTTTGAATAAATCCAGTGAATCTAAGCCTTTGTTTCAATATTTTTTAAAATTGTTTCGTTTCCTTTCAGTTGACAGCCATTATCTTCAATCATCAATAAAAAAAAAAGCATGGTAAGTGTGTCCTTTCATTGTTTTGTGCTCTGTGAAAAGAGAAGCTATGCAAAGTGCCAAGAATCCCTCCTGTTAAGCTGCAGCTCTAGGACTTTCTTTGTGTAATGAAGTGTGGCTTGACTCTTGAAAGGTCATTCCCTTTTCAAGTCACTGTGACATTCGTTCTGAAACGATGCCCATCACAAATAGCTCAATCAAATGGCTTGCATGTAGCCCTAAATTATTTTTCCCTCTATATATTTAGCTAAATTCTCATTTTTCCAATTTCCTTTTTCCATGAAGACTTGGTGTGTGTGGATACCCTGACTCTTTGATGAGCCTCATTTCACCGAAAGGAGTTTCTGTGTGAAGATGCACTCATTACAAAAACATTAGTATGCCTGCGCTGTATACTTACATTGGCACAAAAAGAGAAGCAGCAGCTTCATTTGATATCCTTGATTTGATTTTATCCCCATCAGTGTGCTGAGATACCTCAGACTGTCTAATGAGGAGACGTGAAGAAAGAACTCAGTTTCAGTTGATGACGGTGGTCTAGTTTGTACCATATTGAATTACCATGTACATGGAAACTGCAGGCACCTGTCTCTATTGTATCCCCACTGGCTTACAATTTCATCAAGAGACAGTTGGGAGATGGCACTGCATGATGGTTTAAAAAGGAGACTACTCCATCTTCACTTAAAAACTAAAATAAGTGAATAAAACAACCACATTTTGAGGTTGGGTATGACTTCTAAATGAACTAAGGCTAAAACCATTTATTTATTCCACCATATAGTCTAGTCGTGAATGAGGTATATTGAAAATGTTGTCATTACAAAGGTCAGAAACACAGGAATAATGATCCACAGTGAAATATATATATATAAATCTACATCAGTAATCCTCTTAAATGTCTTATTTGATGTTCCAGCAGGTGACGTTTTTAGATACAATGAACAAAATATATCCAGCTTATTGCCTCTAGAGAGTTTATATTTGTGTTTATGCTCATTTTATAAAAAGTGCTGGACATAAACACCTTGCTTAAGTAAGTCTAAAGAATCCCATATGTAACTTGGGCATCTGTAATCCATAAATCTCAAGTCATCTTTAACTGATAGGACCTGACCTGTGATCTCTCAGGATTTAGTCAGGAACAGCTTTTAGCCAAAAGAGAAAAAAGAATAAAATTTTAGAAGAGGAGATATTGGTGAAGATAAAGTCAAAGGCAAATGTGTAGTTTTTGAGCATGACTTCAATGGTTATACATTGAATGTTATACACAAAAAGTTATTCTGGTCTCTAAAAATGCTCAAAGGACATGTATCAGTTTCCCGCTAATGTACAGAATAGGTAACTCATTTACAGTTTGACACACTCACAAACAAACACCCAGTGCTGCTTTTAAGTTAAAATTTGTGTTTGCTTACTAATCCCTTATATCTTCATTTAATTATCCATCCATTCATCCAGACATCTAATGAAAAGTTTGCTACAATACCTACTACAGCATAAAATGGACAATTCCATCTCAATTTTTTATATAATAACAACCAAACAAAGAAAAAAAGCCTTCCCCCTCAAGCTTTTGCCTTGAAAAAAAAAAAAACAATCCAGGGAAGAGACACTTCTTAATAAGAATAATCCCTGATGATAGAAGCCTGTATGTAGGTAGCTGAAAGAACAAGTTTCTGTTAATATGCTAATATGCTAATGCTAATATCCTACATTTCTGATGGTTCTCTCTCTTGTTTTCCCGTATGAATTTATTTTTGAGTTCAGTTATATGTTTATGGCAGCCAAAGACTGTTTCAGAAGTAGAGCAAGATATTTTAATTCAATTTATGCACGTTCACTGCCCAGTAAGAAATTATTTTTCCTGGCCAAAAAGAGAGTATGTGTAATCAAGTGAGTCCTATTTTCCTTGTGGAGTTTTGTTCTGGCAAATCCAAGCTGGTCAGCTGGGAGGCAGTTGATAAACTGACATGGAATTATCCATCAGTCATTTTACTTTTTGTGTGTTATTTCATGTGATGCAGATTTGGCTAATTATCCTTCAGAGCTGCTCTTGACCCCAACGTTCAGTGTCGTTTGGACAATAGGTTCCTTCACATGTCAGAGTAAGAATTTATAAAGGACTTCTTTACATGGTTTTATCTTTCAGCCACACATGACTTTTTATCATAAACTGCTTTGTAAAACTGTTAAGATTACTAGTGTATTTCAGGACAGTTGATCTGATAAATGCTGAGACACCTCAATTAATGTTGGGAAAAGGCTAAGTAAACATTTCCAGATGAATATCTGTTCTAGATTCAAGCCTTTGCACCATTTTTAAAACACCAAGATTGCCAAAGTGAAAATGCCCAACTACTGGGAGATGTTAAAACAGATGTCCATCTTTTGTATACATTGTGTGTCTCAGTAGAAAGGTGGCTTTATAGTGTAGTGGTTTACAAATGCTAGTGCAATTCCAGCCAGAGACACAAATTCCCTTTTGTTTTGCAGTAGGAAGGGCGTTTGGGATAAAACTCAAACACGTTGAACTACTCTTGTTACAAGGAAGCATCTAAAACGAACTGTTGTGTGTCTTAGTAGAAAGTCTGAATGATACAATTTGTAGCAAAAAAGCAGAAAGAACAATAATGCTAAAAACTGTAACATAAAAAGCTTTTGAGAGGTTGTGGTGCCAAATTGAACTGGTTGACAATACAGGCAGAATAAACACAGTGACAGTAGCACTGACACTTCAAGGAGATGCTGTCAAGTTGCAGAAGGAGGTTGCTCTCTTGAGCACGCTGTAACATTTATAAGCCATTTTTGTATGAACATACAGAATAGCACACACAAATGATCAACAAGAGAAATAATACAAATCTTTATAAAGAGGTGTAGGAGGTGTATTTGTTCATTTCTCCACCTGCACAGTTTATTACAAGGCTGCAGCTGAGGTTTTACTGCTTCTTCTACAAATGGCCTTTTCCCTTAAGAATGTGTGCACGTCCAAGTAAGATGAAAACACATTTTTTTAAAATTACCTGCTGACAAAAACCAGCAGTCAGACCTGATTTAGGTTCTACTTAAAGTATTGCCTCACTGTT